GGGTGGGGGTGTCTGCCCACGTCCCAGCCTCGCCTGTCTCCACGCCTGGCAGCCACCCTACGGGCATTTTTGTGACCAAGGGACAGAGTGACAACTGGGAGGACAGACTGTACACAGACGAAGGTGCGACAGAGAAGGGAGCGGTGAATAGAGTGGGAGGGAGGGAAGGGGTAGGGAAGCAGAGGGGGGAGAGAGAGACAGACAGGGAGACAGACAGACAGAGAAACAGGGAGAGACATAGAGGAGGAGGGAGAGAGGGAGAGGACAGACAGGGAAGAGGGAAGGGAAGGTGGGCAGCCTCCAGGTCCGGGGCGCGTCCCCGTCCCGCGCCCCCTGGTCCCCTGTCCTGGTTCCCCTGAGCTGAGACTGACGGACACGAGCAGCTGCAGGGCCTGCGAGTGGGGAGTAAACATCAGTGAGCAGGAGGTAGAGGAGAGGGACCGACGGATGGATGAGGAGGCCCCACGTGGGAGAAGGGAGGTGAGGGAGGAGGAGTGGTGTAGGGGGGACTGAGGGACAGAGTCCCAGCAGGAGAGGCTGGGAGGTGTGAGGGCGGATAGAGGAAGGGGCCCGGGAGAAGGGCCGGAGCGGGTAGGGGAGCAGAGGGGAGGGCCGGTGGAGGGTGAACCTGGTGCAGAGCCCGGAGCGGGGAGGAAGGGGAGGAAGAAGCTGTGAGGACCAGGTGGGGAGGAGAGAAGGCTGTGTGTGTGTGGGGGGGGGCTTGGGGGGCAGACAGACAATAGGGAGACACTGAGATGCGGGGGGAGTGGCCCAAGGAGATGAGAGGATGAGAAGAAGGATGTGATTAAGGAGGTGTGAGCAGAGGACGGTGGGACTGGTGTGCCAGGGAGACAGCTGTGTGAGGAGGAGACACAGGGAATGGAGAGAGAGAGAGAGAATGAGAGAGACTGAGAGAGAGAATGAGGGAGAGAGAGAAAAACAATGAGATGGGGGAATGAGAGAGAGAGAGAATGAGAGAGGAAATGAGAGAGAGAAGGATTGAGAGAGAGAATGAGATAGAAGGAGTGAGAGAGAAGGAAAAAAAGAATGAGATGGAGGGAATGAGAGTGAAAGTTTGAGATAGAGCTAGAGAGAGAGAATTAGACAGAGGGAATGAGAGAGAGGAAGAATGAAAATGAGTGAATGAGAGGATGAGATAGAGGGAATGAGATAAAGGGAATGAGAGGGAGAATGAGACATAGGGAATGAGAGAGAGAGAGAGAGGAAGAATGAGATAGAGTGAATGAGAGAGAGAATGAGATAGAACGACTGAGAGAGAGAATGAGACAGAGGGAAAGAGAGAGAAATAATGAAATGGAGTGAATGAGAGAGAGCAAAATGATGTGATAGATGGAATGAGAGAGAAAGAATGAATAGAGCTAGAGAGAGAGAGAGAGAGAGAGAGAGAGAGAGAGAATTAGACAGAGGGAATGAGAGAGAGATAGAATGATATATAGTGAATGAGAGAGAGACAGAACAAGAATGAGATGAATGGAATTAGATAGAGAAAGAATGAGAGAGGGAATGAGAGAGAGAATGAGATAGACAGAATGAGAGAGAAATAATGAAATCGAGTGAATGAGAGAGAGCAAAATGCTGTGATAGAGGGAATGAGAGAGAAAGAATGAGATAGAGCTAGAGAGATAGAATGATATATAGTGAATGAGAGAGAGACAGAACAAGAATGAGATGAAGGGAATTAGATAGAGAAAGAATGAGAGATGGAATGAGAGAGTGAGAGAGTGAAAGAGTGAGAGTGGAAATGAGAGAGGGAATGAGAGAGGGAATGAG